TACGCTGATGACACTCAGCTGTACATCTCCACCCCAGACCATCCTAATGATGCCCTTGATGTGATGTCCCAGTGCCTGGAGGCTGTGCAGATCTGGATGGGGAGGAACAGGCTTCGGCTCAACCCTTCCAAGACCGAGTGGCTGTGGATACCGGCGTCCCGATATAGCCAGCTTGTGCCATCGCTGGCTATTGGGGGCGAGTCACTGACCCCCACAGAGGGGGCTCGCAACTTGGGTGTCCTCCTGGACACACGGCTGTCTTTAGAAGAGCATATGACGGCCATGGCCAGGGGGGCTTTTTATCAGGTCCGCCTGATATGCCAGTTGCGCCCCTTTCTGGATTGGGACTCCTTGTGCATGGTCACTCATGCCCTCGTCACGTCACGCCTGGATTACTGCAACGCTCTCTACATGGGGCTCCCCCTGAGGAGCACCCGGAGGCTCCAGCTGGTGCAGAATGCGGCCGCGCGGGTGATTATGGGAGCGATGTGGCGCTCCCACGTAACACCTCTCCTGTGCGAGCTGCCTTGGCTCCCGGTGGTCTTCCGGGTGCGCTTTAAGGTGTTGGTTCTCATCTTTAAAGCGCTCCATGGCTTAGGGCCAGGGTATTTGCGAGACCGCCTGCTGCTACCGATAACCTCCCACCGGCCAATACGCTCTCACAGAGAGGGCCTCCTCGGGGTGCCGTCGGTCAGGCAATGTCGGCTGGCGGCCCCCAGGGGGCGAGCCTTCTCTGTGGGGGCACCCGCCCTGTGGAATGAGCTGCCTCCTGGAATACGATTGATCCCGGACCTCCAGACCTTCCGTAAAGCCCTGAAGACGTTTTTATTTCATCAAGCCGGCCTAGCCTAAATGGTCTTTAATTGGGATTTTAAATTTTATGGAATTGGGGTTTTAAATTTGGGTAGCCAATGATTTAATTCTTTTAATTATCTTAACTTTTGCATTTGTATGTTTTTTAATTTTGGCTGTTCACCGCCCTGAGTCCCTTCTGGGAGAAGGGCGGTATACAAATTAAATTAATAAATAAATAAATAAATAAGAGACCCTGATGACACAAATAAAGGTCCAGATGGCCTTAATGACTCGCTAATAGAATAGCTGTCTGCAAGGAATATAAATCCTTTTATTCCCCATCATCCAGTCAGCTAAAGAAGCTTCTTAGATGAGAAGCAAAACCTCTTCAAAGAAAAACCAGAAAGTCCCGTTGCCTCTTGATAAAGCACCTTTGGGTTCATGAGGCAAGAAAAGTCCAGAGTTCATAAGGCACGATTCAAGTGAAGGCACCCTGTCAATCCAAAGCAAAGCAGGAATCACAAAGACCAGAAAACACACAGCTAGGAAATGAACATGCTGCTCCCAGAATCACCTCCATCCAGTGGTGGGATTAAAAATTTTTTTACTACCAGTTCTGTGGGCATGGCTTGGTGGGCATGGCATGGCTTGGTGGGCATGGTAGGAGAAGGATACTGTAAAATCTCCATTCCCTCCCCACTCTAGGGGAAGGATACTGCAAAATCCCCATTTCCTCCCGATCAGCCGGGACTCAGGAGGCAGAGAATAAATGGGGCGGGGCCAGTCAGAGGTGGTATTTATCGGTTATCCAAACTACTCAAAATTTCTGCTACAAGTTCTCCAGAACTAGTCAAAACCTGCTAAATACCATTTCTGCCTCCATCTGTCTGCTGTCTGCCAGCTTCTAGTGCAGCCATCAAGAAGGCTTTCTCCTCATGAGTAATCTTTCTCCTGCCTTTTCTCTGCCCGGTGTGTTCTTGGATCAGATACAGAAGGCAGTTCTTCTTCTTTATCTCTGACGAACTGTAGCTGCATGCTTTCTCCATCTGATGCCTCAAGGCTGTCCTGCTGCAGCTGTGCTTCAGCCAAATCACTCTCAGACAGCTGCTTGGAGCCACTGATCAACTCCCCTTCTTCTTCTTTTTTTTTTGTAGATATTTTTTATTTATTTTTTCAAATTTAAACATAAAAACATAACTTTCAAGAGCAAAAATCTCGATCCGGTCATAGATGGTTACCACGCTTACATTCCTTTCACAAGCTCAATTCACAATTTCCATTACATCTTTTATAAATAAACAAAAAAAGAAAAAAAGAAGATAAAAAAGAAATTCAAAACTTAAGAAAAAACCAATTTTACCTCAAATTTCACATTTTCATCTATATAAATCCATTATATCTATCCAAAATTAGTTTCAAATTCAGTTTCACTCATTTTTACATCTGCTTAACAATTCTAAACATATCTTTATTCTTCTTTACCTTATATCTTATACAAATCATATCAAAATAATTTTTACAATATTCTAACCTCTTGTTAAGTGTTTACCTTACAATTTTATCACCATTTATTCTTAGTTTCAATTCAATACCACTCCATTTTTATTATATTTTATAAAACAACGTTTTATCTAATTTTAATCCTTTGACCCTTATCCTCAAATCAGTTTACCTTAGATTTTTTTTTCTCCCAGTTTACATATTATACAGATTTCTCTCAAAGGCATATTTTATTTACTCCAATTTCTAATATATTTTCCACTATATCTCCCTCTAATATTTAACTAGCTTCCAGCTTGTTCTATTTGATTAATTCTCAGCTTGATCCCCTCCAGAACACCAACTATTTAGTTGATTTTAGAATAGTTCCTCAATCTCCTCCAACTCTCCTCCTATTTGTATGACTGTTTCCAGCATTTTATGGGCTGATTTCCAGCATAGTCTCCTCCTTTAACTCCCTCCATTGTTTGGCTGATTTCCAGCATAGTCTCCTCCAACTCTCCTCCTATTTGTTTGCTGTTTCCAGCATTTTATGGGCTGATTTCCAGCATAGTCTCCTCCTTGACTCCCTCCCTTGTTTGGCTGATTACCAGCATAGTCTCCTCAAACTCTCCTCCTATTTGTTTGGCTGTTTCCAGCATTTTGAATTAATTTCCAACGTATTTCCACCGAGTCTCAAACTCTTATCTAGTTGGTATCCATCCCACACATTTTAACTGTAATATAATTATCTGTTTTATATCATTTTTCCATCCTGCTCTTTCAATTTAAATCTCAATATATTTCATAATAGTCATCATTTCCAACTTGTATTACCTTAATTCAAGATTAATCACTAGCATCTGTGTATCTTGTATTTTGTTCAATCAATCCTTATTCATCAGTTTAATATGTTTGCAAATTAAAATTAAAACGTATTACATCAAACAGTACATTTTCTTAAAATTTTCCTGCCTCGAAATATATTCTTCTTTATTATTTTTATCCCCTTGATATCATCCACTATTTTAATAGCCACCTCTTATTTTCTATTTTTATTATTTCACAACCCTTCCTGTTTTTATCCAAAAATCATATATACATAGGCTTTTAAACTTTACATTTCAGTTAGTCACATTTAAATTTATCCACTTTGATTCTTCCTTTTCTTCCTTTTCTTCTCTGTCCAAAGTGCTCTATTTCAAGGTTCATCAGTTCAAAGTAAAGAATTTCTGTATGTCTCTTTAAAACTTTTAAGATGTCTGATCCAAGCGTAGTGCATCAGCTTCCTGTCTTTGTTAACTACGCCACACCTAGTTTTGTCAGTCTCCATTGTTAAAATCCAAAATGTTCTTTCTTTCTTCTTTCTTCTTTCTTAAAATCATCTGGGACAGAGTAAGAATCTCCAAAATCCTTATATCCAATATTAATTTAAAGTAATCCAAGGTAAAAAGCCAATTAACGTGTTTCTTTTCCACCCAGAAAGGGAAATTTCTTTAATCCACTTCTCTGTTTAATCACTGCAAACTCCATGGCTATTTTGTAGCCATCCATCTCTATCTTCATTAGCTTCATTTTCTTTTAAAGGCATTAATTCTCAGGAATATCCATTTCTCCTCTCCACTCCAGTTAAAGGCACAGTCAAATTTCAGAAATTTATTAAAACCAAATCATCCAGTTTAAGTTTACTGCAACAAAATTCAATTTGGGTCTTTTACCCATTTTTTTTTCCTTTTCAATCTTTAAGCCCCGCAGTCCAACAGCCGTTTTTAATTTTGGGGTCTTATTTTCCAATAATTCCAGATAGGTACGTTTGCCTGGGTTGGTGTCACTCACCCGGCTTCTTGATTTTTGCTCTTTCTTCATCTTCTTCCTCCAGCACAATCCTTGTTCCCAGTTGCCGCAGTTTCAGGGCAGCCACCATGGCTGCCGTCCCGCTGCCGCCGGCGTGAAGGAGAAGCCTCTGGCCCCGAGGAACCCGCCCGTTCCTCTCGGCCGCCCAAGTCGTTCCTTCTTGTCCCCCTGTCTCTACAAGACAGGGGAGGTCCGCAGACCTATCGGCGGCAGCTTAACAGAGGGGATTTGGCAGGGCTCAGCGGAGCTCACCATTTCCCCGTCTGTGTCCCTATGGCGCCAACTGGAAGTTCAACTCCCCTTCTGATCTACTAGGAACTGGTTCATCCTCCCCTGAACTGACATCTGAAGAGGTATCTGGGAAGCATCTGGGAGAGTCATCACAAGACCTTTCCCAATGCTTAAAGATGAAAAAGCTTCTTCAAAAGCAATCAGTAATATTTGTGCTCCAATGTATGCTTTTTATTATAGCATGCACTATCATCCTTATATTAAACCACCATTTCCAAGTCTCACTTCTTAATATCTATTAGATTCAATTAATAGAATAAGGTGAAGAAATGTGATATTAAAATTTGAATCACAGGGCTTCAATATAAAAATGACATTTCTATGTTGAATTGTAAAGCTTTCTATTTTGTGACATTATTGTGTTTCTACAGCCCATGGCTTCACATCAATATTTTTTCTTATAGAAATGGGAAAACACAATGACCTCAAGGTACTTCATAAGTAACCTATATGTTTTTATGAGGTACCAGTAGCCTGGTATTATGTAGAAACCAGATAATGAAAAAAAATTAAATTTAATCAACATCCTTTATGAAGATAAAATATGCAAAATTATTAGTACATTTTATTTATAAGCATACCTGTCACGGTTTCCATTGGTGATACAGTGCAAATGATTAGCACCTCCATCAGCACATACTCTCAGAACCGCTGGAAAAAAGGATGCTGTTGTCAAAAAGCTGCCATCATAAATAACAATTTTATTTACATACAACTATTATTTTGTAACATGTGAACTTCAAATATCTTCATTTTTTACATAGTATCTGATTGATCCTGTTACTGATAAGTTGAATTTAACTACCATTAAATATAACTTCATTGTTGTATCTTGTTTGACAGTTTAAGGCCCTATACATGAGTTTACCATTGAAAAATGTTTACAACATCCATCAGGGTAGACTGAATACTGTGATTAAATTATCCCCCTCCTAAAAATATCTGCATTAGTTGTAAACTGTTTTCTAGGCAGATATGTGTCAACTATTTAAGGACTAAACAGTTTAGAATCTAAGTATGCCCCATATAAATAGATCTAGGCATTCAGAGCTGCAAGAGTTTCTTTCCAAATCCTTTTTTCTACTTGGGCTTTCTATTGGACTTTTTTTTTTTTTTTTTTTAAATTTGATTTATATGCTGCCCTTCTCCGGAGACTCAGGGCGGCTTACAATGCGTTAAGCAATAGCCTTCATTCTTTTGTATATTTTTATACAAAGTCAGCTTATTGCCCCCACAAACTGGGTCCTCATTTCACCTACCTTAGAAAGGATGGAAGGCTGAGTCAACCTTGAGCCTTGGAGAGATTCGAACCAGCAGAAATTGCAGGCAGCTGTGTTAATGACAGGGTGCACTAAACCACTGTACTATCAAGGCTCTTTCTCCTAAATTCTTTCCAAACTAACACTCCCAACTTTCTGCCTTGAAAGAACAGTATATCCCCATGCCACTCTTTTTTGTAAATTAGTATAACAGTGTTAATTATTTTTAAACTACAATTTTGTTTTAATTATTAGATGCCTCAAGTTTACAAATAAATACATTAATATCAATACTATTTTAGACAAGAAAGTAGTAACTAACTCTTAAGAATCTGAGGTATTTTTGCATGATATTCACCATATTGTATTCATTTCTTGAAATTGAATTCTTTTCATATTGCCCCATCTCCCTGAACACTTGTTTGTATTGGCCAAATTTATTTTTAAGATTAAGATTTCATTAACTGTAACTCAATATGCTAGGATTGTGGTCGTAGTTAATTAGTAAATACATGTACAAATAAAAATCACTTATAATTTTGTAATTTGTTAATTTCTTAACAAATTCTTAAAAATACACAGCCATAAAAAACAGTAAGAGTTTCTCTTTTTTTCAGAATAGGAAAAATAAAACTTTGCCAAAATGTTTTAGCAGTTTCATGATCTTTTTACATTGTTCAGTGTTCTACTACTTAAACATTCTGCCACTAAGATTTTCATTTCTGTATTTAATATATATTTAAATTATTAATCCTTGCTACTTGAAATATATTTCAAATACTCTTGAAACCTCTGCACTCTGCACTTATATAAAACATTATTCTTCCATGAATTTTTTTGAGCTCATTTGGAAGCAGTTAAGCGTCATTCATCAAGCGCAATTAAAATCTTTGTTTTATATTAACAGACTTTTCAAGTTATCTGCTACATATTTACTCAGCATTTCAATCATTCTGTACTTAGTTATTTAAAAAAATAATTTATAAAACATTGATCTTTTATAGCAAATTAATGATTCACACCAACACAACCCACAGAATGATGTTTTCAGTTATGTGATAAGCAAAGGGGAATCAGTAACTTCTACAAGCTATGAAACAAAGTGCAGTCTTGTTATTATTTAACAGATAAATATATAGATGTTTCCATTATTTAACACTACTGTTGGAATAATAGTTTTAAATTTCAAATGCAAATGGACAAAGGCGGTCTAGGGAGAAAAGAACAATCAAATAGTAAAAGTGATTTTTTTTCTTTTTAGAGTTGCAAGAATGAAATAACATCATGGTATTGATAATGAGCTTAATGGTAGCTCTGCCAATATCTCTAAGAACACTGTAATACTTCATAATGTGCATGATTACTGCTCACCACAATACTGTAGCAATTTACAACTACACTTCTTGAATATGTACTGCTTAATATCTTTAAATGACAAAAACAAACAAACAGATAATGAATATGTTTGTGAGTTTATATACCGAGAGACATGCACAATGAACTCACTTAGGGCCATTTCACACATTATATTTTAATTCTGCACTTAAGACACTTGTATAGCTAATAATATGCACAGTGACTGTGAAAAACATGGTAGGTTTCAGCTTCCTGCTAAGTGCATGGTTTGGTGAGTATAATGGTTCTATGAAGAATGTGAAATGGCTGTTAAACGTCTAATTTGTTTTCACATTTGAGAATTAAATTAAAGGGAAAAAAATTCAATTCCACTATTTTCTATAGGCAGATCATATATAAATGTCACAAAATTCGAGTTTCTGCAGAAATAGAAAATATACCGTATTTTCCGGCATATAGGACGACTGGGTGTATAAGACGACCCCCGAATTTTCCTGTTAAAATATAGGGTTTGGGCTATACTTGCCATATAAGACTACCCCTCTTCCAACGCACACCAAATAAAAATTAAAAAACATCAACTGTCTCACCCGCAATGTAAAAGCAGCTGTGCTAGACCCAAAATGGCCCCTGCAACAAGCAGGAACCTCACACAGCCACAAAAAGCCCCAAAAAAACCCAACTTTCACACTTTACACACACACAACACAACACAACACAACTGGCTCACCCACAATGTAAAAGCAGCTGTGCTAAACCCAAATGGCCCCTGCAACAAGCAGGAACCTCACACAGCCACAAAAAGCCCCAAAAAACAACTTTCACACTTTACACACACACAACACAACACAACACAACAGGCTCACCCACAATGTAAAAGCAGCTATGCTAGACCCAAAATGGCCCCTGAAACAAGCAGGAACCTCACACAGCCACAAAAAGCCCCAAAACCCAACTTTCACACTTTACACACCCAAAATTCCACATACAGCTTTGTGAGATTTTGTGTGTTTGTGTAGTTCGAGTGAAACACTACAAAAACATACTAAATCTCAGAAAGCTGCACAAATATTATTTTATTTTTATTTTTATATAAAAGCTAAATTTAAAACTTCCTAAACTTTAAATGGCTAGGTCTAAAAAAGAACAACTAAAAAAAAACCCCAATTAACTATTTTTTTTAAAGATCCCAAAGGGGAAAAAAACTTACCCAATAGAACAGGGGTCTCCAACCTTGGCAACTTTAAGACTTGTAGACTTCAACTCCCAGAATTCCTCAGCCAGCTTTGTTTTGTTGGCTGAGGAATTCTGGGAGTTGAAGTCCACAACTCCCTGCCTGCTTGATTGCAGGCAGGGAGTTGCTTGCTGATAGAATGGATTCAGGCAAGCGAAGCAAGGCAAGCAGCTAAGGTAAGCAAGCTGGAGGGTGAAAACTTTTTTCCTTCTCCATGGCTCTGGCGATCCCAGCTGAGTTGCCTGATTAGCAGATCGTCAGGGCTTGGATCGTCAGAGCCATGTGAAAGGAGAAAAGTTTTTTTCCTTCTCCATGGCTCTGGCGATCCCAACTGAGTTGCCTGATTAGCAGATCGTCAGGGCTTGGATCGTCAGAGCCATTTAAGGCTCGTCAGAGCCTTTCGGGCTGGTCTGCCTGGTTACAGAAGAATGACACCCGGCATATAAGACTTTTGAGAAGATTTTCATGTGTTAAAAAGTCATCTTAGAAAAAACAGATCCGTTGGCGCAGCTATGAAAGGGGAAAAGTTGTTTGATATTAGGAAGGCCTTTGAGGAAGCTCAAAAACATCACCAAAATCAGGCCAAATTGGTGGCATCTTTAAAGCATACCTATAATGAGTTACAAGACAAGGACTATTTTCATGAAAAGTTTGTTCATTACCTGAAGTATGCCATGGTAATCTACAAACGAGAACCTGCAGTGGAACAAGTGATAAATTTTGTGGCCAAGTTTCTGGCTTCGTTGTATAATTCGGAGAAAGAGGATGCTGAAGAGGAAGAAATGGAAAATCCCTTTCTAAATTACCTGTTCACCTTTCTCCTTGAGTCCCACCCCGCTAACAGCAATGCAGTTAGATTTCGTGTGTGCCAACTTATTAATAAACTTTTGGGAAGTCTGCCAGAGAACGCCCAGATCGAAGATGAATTGTTTGATCAGATTAATACTGCTATGCAGCTCAGAGCAAGAGACAAAGTACCAAATGTGAGAATCCAAGCTGTGTTGGCTTTGTCTAGGCTTCAGGATCCCAAGGACGACCAGTGTCCAGTTGTTAATGTTTACAACAGTTTAATTGAGACTGACTCCAACTCAGAAGTAAGGCGTGCTGTGTTGTTCTGCATTAGTCCATCAGTTAAAACTCTACCCAAAATTATTGGTCGTACCATGGATGTAAAAGAGACAGTCAGGAAATTAGCATATCAGGTACTGGCAGAAAAAGTTCATGTCAAAGCTTTGACAATAGCCCAGAGAGTAAAACTTTTGCAGCAAGGACTTAATGATAGATCAGAAAGCGTGAAAGAAATGGTACAGAAACAACTTCTCCAAGCTTGGTTACATCTAGTTGAAGGAAATGTCTTAGAATTGCTCCATCATCTGGATGTGGAGAGTTGCCCTGAAGTGGGTGTTCTAGCCCTTAATGCTATGTTCCTGCTGTCTCCCCACCAGGATCTGATTAAAAAAAATTTTTGAACTTGATGACAGGAAAACCATTCCAATAGAAAAACTGACTGCAGAGAGTGCCTTATATTGGAAAGCTCTTTGTGAGCACTTGAAATCCAAAGGAGAAGAATTCTTAGAAGAATTCTTGCCAGAGCCTGCTATCTATGCGGATTATCTGTTGAGCTACTTTCAAAGCATTCCAGTACTCAATCAGGAAGAAAAGGAAGATCTGGCCTGCATTGAGCAATTGATGACCAAGGAATTTATAGGTCAGCAGTTAATTCTAATAATCGGTTGCATGGATATCACCGAAGAAGGAGGCAGGAAGAAAATGCTGAGTGTCCTACAAAAAATTCTTTTGATTCCAACCACGTCAGCATCTCTTATATCCCATCTTATGGAAAAGTTGCTCTGCCTTTTGAAGGATGATGAGCGAAGAATCCAGATGGTTGCTGAAATAATTTCAGAGGCACGGGAAACCGTTATGACAGTAGACAAGCAGCAAGATGCAAGTGAGATAAGAAAACAAGAGCTTAAGCTGGCAGAAATAAAAGTGAAACTCATGGAAGCAAAGGATATTCTGGAGAAGTGCATAGCCATGCAAGACTTCAGCCATGCTTCTGTGTTAAAGGAGAAGATTATAGAGCTGGAAGGTATAAAGAGTGGCTTGTTGAAAGAGGCGGAAGAATCCGAAACTAAAGAGATATGCATGGAAAAGAGTGATCCAGAAACACTTCTGAAGTGTTTGATGATGTGCAACCAACTTCTGAAGCAGATCTCACTTTCCAAAGGGTTAGGACCTACACTGGATGGAATAATTGAATACCCTGATAATCCCAGGAATTACTAATATCCATCCTGCTGTGCGAAACATGGCGGTGCTGTGCTTGGGCTGCTGTGGCCTGCAGAGCAAAGAGTTTGCAAGTCAGCACCTCACTTTGCTGTTGCAAGTATTGCAAATTGATGAAATGAAGGTAAAATTGAGTGCTTTAAAGGCACTGTTTGACCAGGTAATGATATTTGGAATAGAACCATTCAAAGACAGAAAAGTTCAAACTGGAAATGAAGAAAATGAGAGTGAGAAAACTAAGGAAACAGAAGAAGAAACAGCTACCACTCACAACCTTCTTCAGCTTCTTTCTGGGTTTCTAGATAGTGAGTTTTCAGAACTTAGAACTGAGGCTGCTGAGGGACTGGTGAAGCTCATATTTTCTGGCCGGCTAATCAGTGCTAAGCTTCTTTCTCGACTGGTTTTGTTGTGGTATAATCCAATGACAGAAGAGGATACACGTCTCCGACATGCCTTGGGAGTTTTTTTCCCTTTATTTGCATATTCAAATAGAACCAATCAGGAATGCTTTGAAGAAACTTTTCTTCCAACGTTGCAAATATTATTTAATGCTCCAGCTTCATCACCATTGTCAGAGGTTGATGTAGCTAACGTTGCTGAACTTCTGGTGGATCTAACAAGGCCTAGTGGATTGAATCAACACTTTCAGAACTGTCAGGGTTTGACAGTTCATGATAATTTAGCGCTGAAAATATGCAATGAAATTTTGACGGATCCAAGTGCGCCAGATGTCCGGATATATGCAAAAGCTCTCTGTTCCTTAGAATTCAGTAAGGATTTCACAAAAGACCTCATGGATTTATTTGAGGATATTCTTGTGACAGTAAAAGATAAAATGTCTTTAAAAATGGTTGAAAAGGTGAAGAACAACTTAAACAAAGGAAACCCTGTTGATGGACATGTTTCAAAAGAAAAGGACACTGCAGAAGTAACTGAAAACAATTTGGACTGCAATAAATCATGTTATGTCCACTGATCAAAATAAGGAAGGTGATAAAGTAATCACTCCTACTGAAGACACAGAGAACACACCTCTAAAGCCAAGATCTACAAGAAACAGAACAACAAAAGGTCTGAGGAAAATAGAAATGCAGACTGAGCACCAAAGTGGGTGCTCTAGAACTAAAGGATCTGAAAGTGACAGAAAAATTCAGCAACCTGTTTCCATAACATATTCGAAATCATCCCGCCGAATCAAAACAACAGCTCTTGCAAAAACGAAAATGGATCTCTCCAAGCTTCTAGACAAAGAATAGGTTAACCAAATCTGATGGTAACTAAAATTTGCTTTATGTGCTGCATAATAAAGATAAAACCTTTTTAATGTGGAAAAAAAAAGTCATCTTATACGCCGGAAAATACGGTATCTATTTATTTAAACTAAAAATTGGAATATAATAAAGTTATAATTTGAAATATCAGGTTAGTTTAATCCCCAACTATCCTCTATTATAGTAGCTTATTTGGATGAGTCAAGTTAGAGTAGTGTGTCTACAAAAGATCTCAGCCACATGGACTCATTCTTCTTAAATATGAAGATATTTTTAGTATTGAATTTCCCATTAATTATATATTGTGCAAAAAATGTTCTTTTTAACAATGAAATGACAATTCATTTTTAGAAATACTAGAACAAATGAAGTGCATATTATTAGCTATTAATTAGGATTATGTCATCTGTATGTTCAACATAGATGTTCACAGGATCTGAGTAAACAGTCAGAAATTCCCTCCCCCCAAAAGGCTGTATTCAATCTGAGCATAGTAAGAAACAAACAACAAAGGAAAAAACAAAGTCTAGAGAAATGTCTAACCATTGTTTTATTCAAACAATAAAATGGGAAACCACAATTAAAGAAAGAAGACTGCAACCAAACTGAACATAATAAGGAACAATTAATTAAAACAGAAAATGAACCTTTAGATAGACTGATGGTGATAGGTCACTCACAGAAGGAAAAATATCTATAACAACAAACCTATCTAAGTTCAAAATCAAAGTTTCATTTTTTCCACCTCAAGTATAAAGCAGTTTCCAAATAGAAACAAAATTAATTTTATTCTTTTTTAATCAGAGCACTCAATTTTGCCATCTCTGCTAACTTTATCAACTTTTGCAGTCATTCGTCCATTTGAATCAAAGGTATCCTTCCATTTCTGGGAGATCAACAGGTTCCCTACAAACCTAGCAAACAACTTTGTCTCAAAAGATAGAGAAGGAAACTAGAAGATCAGATACACTGGACTTAATTTTTACTAACTGAGATGAAATGATAGAAGGGATTGAAGATGAAGGAACTTTGAGGTAGAGTGAACATGTCACATTGGAATTCAACATAATATAGACAAAAGAAACAGAACAAAGTCAAACTAGTGTCTTAGACTTTAAGAGAACTAATTTCAACAGACCTAGAGAGAGCTTGGGAAGGATTTATAGGATGAAAATCTTAAAAGATGAAGTCAGGAAAGCTAAAATCAGAATGAACTAAGACTTGCAACAAATGTCAAAATAATAATAAAAGTTAATTTCTAAATATAAAAAATAAGAAAAAAGTCAAGAAAACAATGGGTCAGTTTTGGTTATCATGATACAAAGAAGATGTTGAGACTACAGAAAGAGTGCAGGGAAGAGCAACAAAAATGATTAGGGAACTAGAGGCTAAAACATATCATGAACAGTTCCAGGAACTTTGTATTTCTAACAAAGAGAAGGACTAGAGTGACATGATAGCAGTCTTCCAATATTTGAGGGGTTGTCACAGAGAAGAGGGGATCAACCTATATTCACCTGAGAACAGTCAGGAAGTAACAGATGGAAACTCATCAAGAAAAGAATCAGCTTAGAACTAAGGAGAAATTTCCTGACAGTGAAAACAATTAATCAGTGGAACGGCTTGCCTCCAGAAGTTGTAGGTGCTCCATCACTGGAGGTTTTTAAGAAGAGATTGGATAGCCATTTGTCTGGAATGATATAGGCTGTCCTGCTTGAGCAGGGGGCTGGACAAGAAGACCTCCAAGGTCCCTTTCAATTCTGATTCTGTTATTGTGTATTCTGTATGTACTTGAACAAAGTTCAAGTTTGGTTCCTATGGTTTATATTCTATACCTAATTTACAATTATGTAATAGCCAAGGAGAAAATACATAGAATGTCACAAGGGTAAGGAAGGAAATTGAAATTTGCTGAAGATCTAGAAGAAAGAAAGAGGTATTAGAGAAGAAGGAAGTCAACAATCCAGATTTAGGCAGGGATAGGCTCCTGAAGATAGTTCCTGATTGATAGAAGATAACCAATCAGCTGAGAGGTATGCAGGAAAAAAGTAGAATGGCACAGGATTAGATGTATTTGATGCAGATTCTAAAGAGAGAGAAGAGGATTCAGAAATCAAAGTTAAAGGACTTCTAATTAAAGGATATTTATTCATTCTGCTTTAGCTCAATACTTCCATTGATCTGGAAGATCAGTATTAGTAAACTCAATACTTTTCTATCTTGAATAAGTTTTAGTCAATTTACAAATGGTCCTTGCATGTTGTCATTTGCCTGACCAATCCTGGAATTCCTCATACCTTTTATACAGTATGACATTTTCCCTCCAAAATTAAGTTCTGAGCTCGGTAAAAAGCTGCAGAAGAATGAATAGTTTGGATGATTAAATCAATGGCAGTGTTAATGGTAGTGAAGATGGATAGTTAGATTGTCTCTAGTTCCTCTGCTCATAATTTTCATATTTCCATCGTATACATTATCACATCATAGCTTTTTAAAAATCTCTTCATTGTTTCAATGTCATCATTTGTCATCATTTTCATTTTCAGGATTTTAGAATAGAATAGAATTTCTCCTTAGTTCTAAGTTGCTTCTCTCCTTGATTAGTTTCCACCCGTTGCTCCTTGTCTTACCCTCAGGTACTTTGGAGAATAGCTTGACTCCCTCTTCTTTGTGGCAGCCCCTGAGATATTGGAACATGGCTATGATGTCTCCCCTAGTCCTTCTTTTCATTAAACTAGACATACCCAGTTCCTGCAACTGTTCTTTATATGTTTTAGCCTCCAGTCGCCTCATCATCTTTGTTGCTCTTCTCTGCACTCTTTTTGGAGTCTCCACATCTTTTTTACATTGTGGTGACCAAAACTGAATGCAGTATTCCAAGTGTGGCCTTACCAAAGCATTATAAAGTGGTATTAACACTTCATGTGAACTTGATTCTAACCCTTTGTTTATGCAGCCTAGAACTGTGTTGGCTTTTTTGGAAGCTGCTGTATACTGCTGGCTCATATTTAAATGGTTGTCCACTAGGACTCCAAGATCCGTCTCACAGTTACTACTCTTGAGCAAGGTATCACATGTACTGTACCTGTACATTTTGTTTTTCTTGCCTAAATGTAGAACTTTACTTTTTTCACCATTGAATTTCATTTTGTTACATAGCACCCAATGTTCAAGTCTGTCAAGATCCTTCTGTATCTTAAGCCTATCTTCTGGAGTGTTGGCTATTCCTGCCAGCTTGGTGTCATCTGCAAATTTGATGAGTTCACCATCTATCCCCTCATCCAAGTCATTGATGATGTTGAAGAGCACTGGGCCTAAAACAGACCCTTGGGGTACTCCAATGTATACTTCCCTCCATGTAGATTCAGTTCCATTGAGGACTACATGTTGAGTGCAGTTGGTCAGCAGTTACGAATCCATCTGGTGGTGGTGCTGTCTAACCCACATTTTTCTACATTATCTAGTAGTAGGTTATGATCTACTTTATATAATGCCTTACTGAAGTCCAAGTAAATTGTATCAACAGTATTCCTCTGGTCCACTAATTTTGTCACTTTGTCAAAGAATGCAATAAGATTAGTCTGGCATTATCTGCTTTTGACAAACCCATGTTGGCTTTTGGTTATTACTTTGTTTGCTTCTACCATGTTTCCCCAAAAATAAGACCTTGTCTTATATTTTTTGAACCCTGAAATAAGCACTTGGCCTTATTTTCAGGGAGGTCTTATTATTTTGGGGTGCGTGGGACAAGACGGGGCTCCTCTTGCCATCTTACCTGATTTCCAGCTCTGTCTTCCTAACCCTAACCAGAGGAAATGGTGGGGACCAGCTGCGCATGTGGTTAAATATTTTTGGGGAGGGCTTATTTTCAGGGGAGAGCTTATTTTGGGGGAGGGCTTATTTTAGCGCATGTACTCAAAAGCCCAATTGGGCTTATTATCAGGGGATATCTTATTTTAGGGGAAACATAGGGTTATGTTTCCCCGAAACATAATATAGGTTTTGTTGTGTCTCGGGATCAGCTTGGTTGTGCTTCCGGGTTGCAACGGCCCCAGCCGGTGGCTTCCTGATTCTATCACTGGCGACGAGGGTGGGATGCTGAAGGAAGTGGCTTCTTCAGCGTTGCAAGGCATTGCAGCTCGGCATGGGACCACGCTGCACCGCCCTACGCATCCAGCGATTCAGAGCCGGCGGTAACTCCAGGCGAACGCCATGAGCTCGAGGGGGAGTACTTCCAGCAACGCCGGTACGTCTGCCAGCTTGCATACAGGTACCCCCGCCATCCCGTCCTCCTAGTTGGGGTTGGCTGGCGCGGCGGCATTGCTGGAGTTTGACATACGCCGCACGGACACGTGGGAATATGCCAAGCACGGTTTGAGTCTTTTTTCTGGTGCTATGGCATTACCGATGAGGGCGCACGGCGAGACTGGTTCCTGAATTGCTGCGGAAATGACTTGTGTGGGCTGGCTGTGAGCCTTGTGCACCCCAGGAAAGTGGATCAGCTCTCTTACTCTGACCTGGTGGGCGTTATTATGGCCCATTTAGCACCTAAACCAACGTTGGTATCCCGGTGGGTAGAGTTTTTTAATCGTAGGCGTTTGGTTGTCGAGCCAGCCGCAACATTTTTGGCAGAGTTGCGTAAACTGGCTCGCTGGTGTGAATTCAATGACTTGAATGAGGCTTTATTTAACCAGTTTATATGTGGCCAGACGGACAAGAAGTTGTTGAGGAAATTTTGTTCAAAGAAAGATCTTAAGATGAAAGACGCCATTGTTTCGGCTAAAACACTCCGGAGTATTTGCCCCGGAAAGTTATCCTCACTTGAAGCCCCCCCATTCAAGCTAAGAGACTTCCAAAAAAACCCCATAGCGTTGAAGGCGGTTGGAACATTCGAGGTTAGATTCAAGGGGGTCCGACAGAACCTCGATCTGTTTATAACGGAAGGGCCGTATACAAACTTATTGGGCAGGAATTGGATGGGCCCTTTAGGCATCGAGGTAACCGGGGTGAACATGATTAGAACCGCAGACCCGGACTTGGTAAAGGTCTGCGCAGTTTCCAACCGTA